AGAAGTACACCAGCAAGACAAATGACAACTCCCCCTTCTCTCTCCACCTTCCTCCTCCTTCCAACTTCCCCCAATCTTATTCCTCTTGCAATAATAATAATAATAACAATGAATGAATGATCCAGAATCAATGTCCGAAGTTCCCCCTCACTGCTGACTCATACATCGGTCCACCATAGCCATGGCTCCTCCTCCTCTCATCTCTCTAAGCCTAGGCTATGGCGGACTACTTGGGCCTAGTCCTGATGTGCAACGGCCAACCCCAAAGCAGCTATGGTGCTGCTTGCTGCTCCGCCACGCCTGACCCTGCTCGGACCTCCTTGGTGCCGTACTACCCCAGCGGGGGCCTTCCAGATGCAGCACCCTACCAGGTGATGAAGATGGAGTCCACCATAGCCAGGTAAGTACCTCGCCACTCTCCTACCTTAACCCCCTTCTTCCTCCTCCTCGAGCTGGACCGCTCGCCATAGCCAGGCTGAGCTCCAGCTGCCTTCACCTCCAAGCAGCGCTGTATGGACCAGCGCTGCGCTCCAGCAGCATGTCGCCAATCCTTGCACACCGCAAATGAGGAAGAGCCTCTTGCTCTTCCTCAAGATATAACGGCCTACCGGCCTCCTGGGCGGTGACTTCCTAGGCCGAGCGGCCTCCCAGCAACCGGTACCTCCTCACTTTCGGAGGGAAACATCATTGCAGGCTCTGTTATTGTCCGGACAGGCCCTAGACCCGGGCTACTTGGACTGGTACCGGCCTACCTCTAGCCTACCGCTACTGGGCCTCTAAAAATGCCAACTTTTTGTCTTCTTCTGCTCGGCCTACCTGCTACTTGAGTGTTTTTCCCCAGCTGCTCTAAGTGTCGTGGGCCTACCCCCGCTACCTGCGTGTTAACCCCCGCTACCTGCGTGTTAACCCCCCCTGCAACCCTTCAAAATCACGGCCACAGGTAAGTACCGGCCCTGCGGGGCCTTGCAACCACAGGTACCCTTACGGGTCACACACACACTCCACCGTCAAGCACTCAGACAGGCAAGCAAACGGGCAGGCATGCACACACACACAGACTTGGAAAACACAGCAGAATGCGGGAATCACGGCAAGGCATTCATTCCAGTGGCAAATCCCAGAAATCAGCAGTGTTCTCAGTCTGTGCTTTGGCAGGTCATTACAGATGTGTTTTTACTAATGTGCTGTTGTCCGTGTTGTGGCCAGGTACACAGTTAGGACCAGGGCCGGAATCAGGCCCAGAGGCTGAGCCTCTAATTCAGTTTGGACCGTTACTCGTTTTCAGGAAAACGTTTGGACCTTTACTCGTTTTGGCCAGGCGTTTGGACCTTTACTCGTTTTTGGCCAGACATTTGGACCTTTACTCGTTTTCGGACAGACTTTGGACCTGGACAGATGTTCAGGCCTGATGCAGTCGCACAGGCCCTGAATCAGGCTAGGTACCAAATCGACCAGACCTAGGCAGGGCCTGGACGTCCGGTAGGGACCCAGGCAGGCCGTTTTTTTGGCCAAGGACTGAAGCCTGCGATCTGGACCGCGGATCAGGCTTTGATCTACACGGCCCAGATTGCAGGCCGTGGACTACTGGGTCCGGCCCAGCACTACTTAAGCTGGGCCAGCGCCCAGTTCAGGAGGGGAGGTACSAGGAGAAAYCCAGCGTTACGCTGGTTCAAGACTTGGCTGCTGCGCTATTTTGGAGACTCCCTGCTGCGCTATTTCGRCCTCCCTGCTGCGCTGTTCAGACGGCAGCTTCGCTGCTCATCAGCAAGGAAGGTCCAGCGCTGGAGGAG